TGTCTCTCTCCCCAGCGCCCCCCACCCCCACCCCCAATGATGGCCCTGAAAAGTCATAGCGCTTTCTTCCTTGCAGGGACAAAAAGGTACGTCACAGAACTGGAAGGAACTTTCCAACAACAAACTCAAACTCTCTGCCATCGAGCGAGTCAGTGGCCACTCCTAGTGACCCTATGGGAGAGGGTGGAACTGCCCCGGTGGCTTTCTGAGACTGTCACTTGGGATTAGGAAGTGCCCTCCCCTCCTTCCAAAACACACACACACACACACACACACCCTGGCTGGTGGTATTGATTCAATGACTTGGCAGTTAGCAGCCAGATGGGTGAGCACTACAAGTTCATAAATTGTTGTTGGTTGGGGAAGGGTCATTTGTCCTCATTTAGTGGTGAAGGGCATTTGGGTCCAGAGAATTCCAGTGGGAACTAGCTGCCCTTACTTGAGGAGGCTGCTCATTTTGCTGGGCTCATTCATGCCAGTGCCACCCTCAGTTCTAGTGTCCACCTGCCTCGGTGCTGCCCCTCCTACTTCTGATAACTCTGTCAGGTCTCTGATGAATGAGAGCTGACACCCAGGCCACCCAGAAGTCCCACCCCTACCCCCGCCACCCAAGGCTGGCAGGGTCCGACATTGCACTCACAATGTTGCCTATCTGCAGCATGGATTCGAACCAGGGGCTCATGCCGTGGTGCTCCAAAGCCATGAAGATGGTGTTCACCACGATGCACAAGGTGATGGTGAGCTCGGCAAAGGGGTCCGTGACGATCCTGAAGAAGACACTCTTGAGCTTCCCCCACGTGGGGCTGCACTTCCAGATCAGGTATTTCTCAGCCAAGCTGGTGAAGCAGGGTGGGCACCTCTGCTTGGACTCTCCGAGTTCTGTAGCATGGGTGTGGTCAAGGACAGCTGTCAGTCCTCATCCCAAAGTCACGCTACAGACACACCCACCACCTGCAGCATCTTGCCTGAGATTTTTTTTTAACTGCCTATCACTTTTCTATTTGCCTGGCTTTGATTTCATGTCCCTCCCTTTCACTAGGCTCTGTGCTTGGGTCCCTCTCCCAGCCGTTGTCCTTGCCTGGCCACCAAGTCAAAATAAAACCCTAACGCACCCTCCAGTCTACCCTGTGCTTGCACCCCAATAGTTGAACCTTCCGAGAGAGAAGTGCACGTGTCCGATGCTGACCGGACCTATGGGAGACTACAACCTCTAGTGTATCACTGTCCCGGCGCTGGGCCATGTTTCTGTATTCAGGCCACTCCTTTACGTTCTCAGGCTACCATCTCTCACTTCCTCTTTTCTCCTCCAGTCTGCCAGTTCTCCTCTCCACTCCACTCTGTACTCGCCACTGGTGAGTTGACTTTCATTTCCCTCAGAATGGAGAATCACTCACCCACACAAAGAACTTCCTCACCTTCCTATCACCAGGTCTGCCACCTACTGCAGGTCATCCCCATATTGGGCCTTCACCCCATGAGAGTTCAAGCTTCCTCTGCCCCCTCCCACTTGTGCATGGGTTCCCGCCTTTCTCACCTTCCCAAGATCCATGTTCTCCCTCTTCTGGCCCTTCTGGACCGTGTCCATGAACATGAAGCATGCTTTGATTCTATCTCCTTTGTCAAAGGACTGGTTGGACCCTATGGTGTTCTCCAATGTCTGTCTCACTAACCGCAAAATCCCTCAGAAGAGTTTTCTCCACTTCATCTTCTCTACTTTCTCTTGGTCTTTCCCTGAGCCCTCGGGATCAGTCTTTCATCTTGCTGGATTAAAAGAGGCAATTTCCAATGCACCTTACTCTGCCTGTCACAGCGTTTACAAGAATTTAGTAAGCCCTCCTTTTCCTGCTTGGCCTCTGGGACACGCTGGTCCCCCGGTGTTTCCTCCCAGTGGCGGCTGCGTCTCTGTTTTTGCCTTCTCTTTCTTTCCTGCCTCTAAATGTCGGAGGACTGAATCATCCAGTTCCTTGGTAGTTTTGTGCCTCTCCCCAACAACTCTCATCTAGGCAATCTCCTTGGGCCCCACCGCTTTGAGAGCGATCTTTATGTGATTTCATATGTCTAGCTGTGGATGGCTCCCTTCAGCCTAGGTACATCTCTTCAGTTGCTTTCACGAATTTTCTGCTTCTGGAGCCCCATCTGTGGAGAGCAGTTTCATAGCGCTAGGTCTGTCCAATAAATTCCATGGCAAGACAGGCAACTTGCCGCTGGACCAGCCCATGCGAGCAAGCAAAGATGATGGCCACTGTTGATAAGTACACAATTGTGAACCATCAATAAAACGTATTTAGGAAAAGGCTGTAGCACATGTATCCGTGACTGTAGAGAATCATTTTTATGTGTTTACGTGTGTGTGCTTCTATACGCATAGACTATTGCTGGAAAGACACATTAGACACTGGGCCTCACCAAAAGAACGGGGCCAGACAGGGAACTGAGCAGGAAAGAGAGATTTCTTTCATTGTACACACATTTGTGATGTTTGGATTTTTGGTACTAGATGCATTTTTTTTCCTAAAGGAAATGAGTTCATAGAAAAAAATGCATGGCCCCAGATGTTGCTAACAGGGTCCCCCCACAGGTAACTTAAAGATATATATGTAGCCATATTTGTGTCTTTTCCTTACAGTTTCTTATTTTTTTTATGACTTGTGTATAATGCTCTTGTCAACGCAGATCTTGGGAAATAGCTATTCATGCTTCCTTCTAGTTCTTCTATGGTTTCTTTTATTATATTTTAAAGTTTAGGTTCATCTGGAATTTGTTTTGAGTAAGGAGTAAAATGCTGATCCAGTTTATTGTTTTCAATCTCTGGTTATATATGCCTACACTGCTTATTGAATCCTTTTAAAAATGACCACAGTTTCTATCATACATTAGATTTTTCCACATCCATGCATTTACTGGTGGATTCTAGTCTCTTCACGGATCTAACTACTTATGTCACTATTTAATTTCATTGTGAAATGAAAACATTTTGCAATGCCTTAACGCGTCCTCTGTATTTGTAATCTTTAAGCTACTTTTGTCAAATAAAGCCAAAGGAAACACCAGAGGAAAAATGCTTTCAGTTCATATCACAGACAAAATGCCCATTTTCTTACTATCTATGAGGTCCTAAACCTTGGTAAGGAAAAGATAGCCCTTTAGGAAAAACACTAGATGGGCCCAGAAATGATTATAGATATTTGAAAATATGCTCCACAATCCTCAAAATAAGAGAAATGAAATTTCACCAGGATATATTTACTCATCATCATATTTGTGAAGTCAAATCAGGGTGACCTTGTTTGGGAGTATGTGGGTACACTGACACCCTCACCCAGGGCTTGAGTGGGCGAAATTGGTACCACATTTATCGAGGGAAATGTAGCATCATCTTTCCCAGTTGAAAATGCATCTCCCCCCTGACAAAGCAATCTCACTACAAGGTGTTTAGCCTCTCGTTAAATTCATGGATGAACAAGCGATGAGGTTATTGACTGCTGGTTACTTCCCAGCAAGAGAACACGGACCAGACAAATCGTGGTCCATCCATGCAGTGCAACACTAGTACTTGAGGGAGGGCATAAAATCAACTCTAAAAGAAGCTGATGTAGAATGCTTTTCATCATATGCTAACTGATCAAAGCATGGTATTGGAAGTGTGTGTGTGTGTGTGTGTGTGTGTGTGTGAGAGAGAGAGAGAGAGAGAGAGAGAGAGATGCTACCATTTTTGAGGAAGAAAAAACCAAACGATATAGTTCTGATTGAACATACACAGAATAGCAGGCTTCATCTCGGATGACTGCTCTGCAGACCCTTGGCTTTGCCTTGTGTTTGTCTGGGTTTCCCCGCTATTGCTAGGCATCCCTTCTCCGTTTCTTAAGGCCGTGCCCCAGGTTTCTTCCTCTCCTGATTGCTCCTTGTGCGATCTTATTTCCTTTTATGATTGCAAAATTACCACCAAGATTCAAATTTCTTCTACATACGTGCCCGGAGTTTACCTGTGCCTTCTAAGTTCTGGGCCCATTGATGATAAAGCCAACTTCTTATCCGATAGCCTTTCTGGCCCATCCCAAGCACAATCTGATCCCGACTCAACTCATCATCTTCTCTCCCCAGTGGGGCCTTTTCCTCCCGAAAGTGTGCCCTGTGGGAGCAGCTGCACCTCCATCCTTTCAATGGCTCAAGCCAGAACCGCAGGCACCCTCAAGTCTTGAATCGTATGGCCTTTAGATAGCGCTCAACTCCCTCCATTGTCCTCCCCCCATCCCCACCCCCACTCCCCAGCCACAACCGGAGACCCGGCACTGGCATCTCTCATCTGCCTTCCTCCTAACTGCTTTCTTTGGCAATACTTTCCCCTCTTAATTACATTCTCCACAAGCATTCAGAATAACCTTTCCAAAGTGCAATGGTGGCTCCCCTGCCTCCAAGCCTTTAATGGGACCTCGCTGCTCTTAGGATGAAATTCAAAATCCTTCCTATGGGGCTACTGGGGATCTGGGCCCTGCCCATTTCACTAGTCTTATTTTGAGCACCCCACCCCCCTTCTTTCTGTGCCCCAGCCACATCTGAATTTAAAAAAATTTTCTCTTTCATTTTTTCAAATGTTATGCTCTTTTCTGCTTTAGGGTCTTTTGCTATCTCTTTTGCCTTGAATACTTCCCCTGCCCCAGGTGAAATGGAATTATAGTTCCCTTAGCACTCTGCACTCCTTCAAGACCCTGGTAATAACTTGTTCCTGGCATGCCTTTCCCACTGAGCAGAGGGCAGGGCCACCTCTGCTCACTGCTGTGCACCTGCTTCTGGTTTTCAGGTTTGGGCAATTGTCAAGGCTTGGTTTTCATGCCACGCACTGATGATACACAGGGATTAGTCATTTCCCAAGCTTTTATTGGCTCAGGTCAAACTTTCTTAGGCACAATGACTCCCAAAGGGGTAGTCTTTGCAAGTACTAGCAAGACTAACACAGCCTCAGACATCCTGTGTCTGCTGGGAACAACAGGTGTCAAAATCACGCCAGAGAGGATCCCAGCGGGCTTGTCTCTGCCCTGTGCTTAGAAAATGTCAAACTCTTTGACTTAACCTCAGTTTTTCTTAACCCATTTTTCTCCCTCTTGTCCTAGTCCACTTTCTGTCCTGCCATCCCAAATCTGACATTTCCTTATTCTCTTCCTGTTCATCAGTTTAGCTCACTACAGTGAGCAGCCACCTGCAGGTGAGGAGCCCTGACGGTGTTGTGGTTATGTGTTGGACTGCTAACAGCCAGGTCAGCAGTCCCACGGGAGAAGGAGAAGGCTTTCTCCTCCAGTAAAGAGTTACAGTCTGGGAAGCCCACAGTTCTACCCTGTCCTATAGGGCCACTGTGAATTGGAAGAGACTCCGTGGTGGTGAATTTAGTTTTGGTTGTAGGGAACATGATCAACATATCACCACTGTAGATAACAGTCATACAATGACGAGGTCTTGAATGCCTACTGTGTCATACACGGCTCTTCTTGGTATTAGAGATGTAGCCGTGAACAAAACAGACACAGCTCTGCCCTCATGGAATTCACAGCACAGGGAAGAATAACAGCCAAGTTCTGTTGAGTATTTACTACGTCCTCACCATGGTTAAGCCCCTGCTTGTTTATTCCACCTAGTCATCACGAAATGCTACTCGGTAAGCGTATTTTACACTATTTTACAGATGAGGAAATTGAGGCACAGAGCAGCTAATGGAGCCCCGAAGTCACACAGCTTACCATTAGTGGCAGAGCCAGAATACAGACCCATTGCCCTCTATCGCCTCTCATTCACCCCAGCACATCTGGCACGTGTTTGTTCCTTCCTGTCAAATGCACTGCATTTCTGTTCTTCTGTCTGAAACGCTCTCCCCTTGGCTCTCCTATGACTGCTTCCCTTACCTGAGTCAGATGTTTTGTTCTTGTCGAGAGGATAGCCTTTCACCACCACCTTATTTAACATAGGCCCCGTTCCAGCCCTCCAGCTCCACTCTCTGTCTTCTCCCTCACTTTGCTCCTCCTGCTTTTTATCACTACCCCTTGGACTTGATCGTCTGCCCCTCCACCTGCCTCCAGAATTCAGATTCCATCAAATAAGATACATTTTTAAAATTCACAGTTGAATTCCTAGTACCTGGAGCTGTGCCAGACACGGATTAACAAATGTTTGCTGACTGAATAAATAAACAAGAGGAAAGGAGGACTCTGGGGTAAATAAAATAGTAAGCTGGTTGTACTTCATATTTACTGTTCAATAGTTAATAACAAAAAGAATTCTTAAGCAACCTACCTGGCTAAGAAAGATCATGGGTATAGCAACATAATGAAATGCTAGGCAGCCATACAAAATCATAGGAGTACAGACACAATGATTTTTAAAAATGTGATTGTTGAGACATTAGCAACGAGGAACAACAACACCGAGAAGTTAGACATACCATTGGTATTGGAATGGATACACATTTCTCAAAACATATCATGCAAAACAAAACAAAAACGTAACTTCGGGGGTCCTCCTGGCCCCCAGATCATTGAACTTAATTTACACTTGAAGCCCTCAACCTGGGCCCTTATTAATTCAGTGTGTGCTACCCCTCATTATGCTGGAGTTCTCAGGATTTCCACATGGGTGGAGAGTGGAGCTGGTCTTTAATCCTTGACAGGCATAGTTCCTATCTGGATGTTAATGTGGAAGCCACAGCTATGGCTGTGCCCACCTTGCCTCTCTAGGTCTGGTTCTCATTCATCCCCTTCCATAGCCTTCAGTAGGGATGGAGACATCATCTAGCTACTCTGCTGCATTCTGGAGCCGGGCCTTTCCACAGGTTGCTTACCAGCCAGCTCTTACTCCATAGTTCTGGGCTGTGGTGGGCACATGAGTCTCTCTCTAAGACTTGCTCCATCCCAGGATCAACTCTATTTCCAAATCCTTCCAACATCTTGTTTGTTTGTTTTTTGCCCACCATGACCTCCCCATCCTGTGTTAAGATCCATCCTAGAGCTGGAAGGATAGCACACAGGAAGGACCACACACTAACATCACAGTTCCCACCTCCCTCCTTCCGCCCGGGGCATTCTCGACTTGTTCATGAGAGAAGAAACTTGTTTCGATCGAGGCCGACTCTCCACCCATTGAGAAAATCGATGCTGGGGTAGGAGAGAAAGACACAGGCATGCTCTATGTCTATACTCCGTGGATCAGACAGCCGCGACCCAGTGCCGCTCTCTTCTTCCACCTACAGGCTTTGTGTAAGTGCCTGAAATTAGAAGCATCCCTGGGAAAATTGAGTGTAGTCCTCATTTAACTGACAGAACCCTGAATTGACAAGGAGTTCCTTCAACTGTCTGACAGTAGCTTTCCAACGTTCCGCATAATGGGGCTCAAGATAGAAATTAAGTTAAATAAAATAGAAATTAAACATGGTAAAATGTCTTGCCTACCTGCCTGGTGGCTTGCAATTCTCTGGTCCCTGCTATGCCATTTAAAACATTTAGTTATGTGGATACATAGGAATCAGATGTTCATTTGAATATGAAATTATCAAAGATATTTCATCCCTTGGATTCTCGTTTTTGAAAATTTATGATTACAAACACACACACAGAAAAAGGATAATGGGATAAGGGTATAAGAAGAAGGAGGAATTGTTAGGATCCCATAATTCCAGAGATGGGTACCATTTAGTATAAACTCTAGGCATCCCCTCTGAGATTGATCACAGCAGAATGGACATTCCAGTAAGCAGCACTTACCCTCAAGGACAGAGGTCATGATGCTGACCACACTCATTGCCCTCTGGGCTCTGAACGGTTCATTCAAGTATTCGGCTGACAAGAAAGCCTTCTGTCCTGTGTTTGGTGCCTGCTGAGACACGAACATGGAATCACATGGAGTCTTCAGTAACAAGCTGGGTCATTCGGTCTCTCACTGGCCTGCCTCCTGTGGCCTCGGATGCCTCAGTGAGACCATGACCTTCTGCTGTCACGCTTGGCGACACCAGTTGCTGCTCACCCTTGGGGTGAGTACTCGGGCCTGAGTTTGGGTGGAATCGGACACTGAAGGACTTCACGAGTTAATCATGCACTAGCCAAGAATATGTACGTAGAATGGATCAAGTAGACGATCTCAGAAAGAGAGTATCTCAGAAGAGGTAAGGGAGGGGCATGGAGTCTATCACAAGGTTTCTTGAAGGAGCTAATAGTCTGGAGGCTTTGGCTTGAGAATTCTGTGCTGACCCTTCCTGTTTGCTCTTGGAGACCCACTCTCCACCTTCCCTGCCCTGCTCTGCTTGAGCAGGGTGGCTTATACACGCACCCCTCCGATTCTGATCAGGTTTAGCCAGTGGGAGGCACAGAGAGAAGAACAGCTAGTGGAAGGAGAGGGACTCCAGGTATCCACCCCCTGGCTTCTCCCCAGCTGAGCCACAGTTGGATAAGGGATGTGAGGCTCTCCCTAAGTTCCATCAGGCAACCTCTCTCAACTCCCAGCTCTGGTTGGGCTATGGTTCTGGTGCCCTCTCTCACCCCATCTGCCTTGGTATGTAGTAGCTTTGCACTATTGCTAGTCTTAGGTGCTTCACTGCTCATTATTAATCCCCTTAACGCAGCCCAAGAATCCAAACAGAGCCAGTTGTCACTGAGTCAGATCAAACCTGGGCCCAACCCACAGGACTTCATAGGGTTTTCATCTGGCTGATTTTTGACAAGTTGTGTGCCAGGCCTTTTTTCAGAGTTACCTCTGGTGGACTCAAACTTCCGACCTTTTGGTCAGCAAGCACTTGGCTAGGCAGCACTTGCCACCCAGAAACAAAGACAGCTTGCACTGTGCAAACGCATCTATAGATTCTTTTCAATTGCCCAGTGGAGCAGTTCATTTGTTTTTTGCTGGGTCCCTAAATCACATGGTGATCTAATCAGAGACAGAGCTAAGACCATTATTTCAGCCTTATCTGAGTCAAGGACACTCATCTCTGTATTCCTGACTAGGCAGAGAAAGGGGATAAACAAAAACAAATACTAGAAATATCATTACAGGAACTGGGAGAGAACTCAAAGTGGATCACAGCCCTCAGTGCCGTGAGGAGTCCCCAGTTTGTCATTACATCCTATTACTCTAATCAGAGTGCTGTCCAGCGACTCACTGGTGCCTAATTTGTGCATCTGAGCAAGTCACTTCCTCAATGAGTCCTTATTAAGATTTCTTTGGATCCGATTTTCAAGCTCAGGCTAGTTGAGCATAGTAAGCAACATACAAGAAGGGCCATCATTTTTTTCTCATAGTCATCCAGGGAGCAAGCAGGCCTAGTTCTAAAGCAGTGGTCGTGAACGGGGACAGCAAAACACTGTGAAGGAACAGGAGATCAAGCAGAAAATAATCTGTTCACTGGGCTGTGGGGAAAACCAGAAAACCTGTTAGCTATCAGGTACATCTGTCCTCTCTCTAGGCCTCACCTTCCCTCTCTGTATAATGGGGAGAGGATGGATGTCTAGATTCTTCTGTTGGAGACACCCTGGGCTCCTTGGTCCAAGACCTCTAGCTGCAAGAGAGTCTGGAGCATGCCCAAACTCACCGATACATCTGTGGTTCCAGGGGTGAGCTCATTAGAGGGCAATGCGTACTGTCCATCTTCTCCATGTCCTGAGCCAGAGTTGGAGAGCTGAGGCAGCAAGCTTCTAGGGAGGGGACTTTTCTGGCCAGTGCTCCCACCCAGCAGTGTAGAACTTCGATGACTTTCACCATCTCCGGAGAAGACTCCGTCATCGGTGACCCCCTCAGGGAAGGAGAAGTCTCGGCCAGGAGCCCGGAAATGGAAGATACTTCCATGGCTAGTGCGGCGTCTCCCAGAGGCAAGGCCTAAGAAAGACTGGGCATTGGCCCAAAGGAAAGAAGAAAAGCATGCTGAAAGCTAATGGAGTGACTGGTGGTTTTGAACTGCTGACCTTTCGGTTAATAGCCCAACACATACTCACTATACCATTAGGGCTCCTTACCTCCAGAAGGGTACTAATTTATAGACATGGGTGGGGAAGGGCCACTCTTCCCCACTGAGTCCTTTCTGACTCATAGTGACCCTGTGGACAGAGTGGAATGGCTCCATCAGTTTCTGAGGCCATATATCTTTATGGGGGCAGAAAACCTCACTTTTCTCCCTTGGGGTAGCTGGTAGGTTCAAACTGCTGACCTTACAGTTAGCGGCCTAGTGCAGAACCCACTGTGCCACCAGGGTGAGGAGGGGCAGCATCTGGGGAAAGGACTGTTTAGGAAGATGCTAAGATAAATAAAGTCATGAGAAATGAGAGGCGATCAGGTAGTTAAGGGACTAGGTCAGATGGCCAAGGGCAGGTCAGAAGACAAACAAGCCATTCACATGGGTCAACTGATTATTTGCCAGTTTGGGGCTGCAGGGCTGGGCACAGCAATCTGTTCAGCTCCCTCCCTCACACACACAGTTATGCTCTACAGAGGCTCTATTATACTGCACCCGTACTGGGGCATGCTTGGTAAACAGTTGTTGAACGAACAGCAGTGTACTTTATTGTCTGAAAATTGTTCTACAATTCATTAGAACCAGCCTGTATGGGTGTTAAGAGTTTGTGTGGCATGGAAGAGACAAGTGCTTTATAATATAATGAACTTCGGGGATCCCTTGAGGCAAGCTTTGAGCTGTAACAATGGGGAGATTGAAGGAAGAGCTGCAGTCTAGTTTCCTGGAAGAACAATACCATTCCTTCCAATCAATAACATTTCCCATAAAAATCTTCCAGTGAGGGAACCGTGAGGCTTACAGTTGCCAGAGGAGAAGAGCTCACTCTTCGACCCAGAAGCCTCTGAAGAGTTCATGTGCCCACTGCTAGTTCCCATGACCACTGTGGAAACTGATCATAACAAGCCACTAATTTTGCTCTCTACCAAGCTCACTACCATCAAGTCACGCCCCGCACATGGGAACCCTCTGTGGGGTTTCTGAGGCTGGAAACATTTATGCAGGCAGATTTTCACACCTTTCTTCCTCAGGGTGGCTGGTGGGTTTGAACTGCAGACCTAGCAGTTAGCAGTTTAACATTTACCCGACAGCATCCTAGACAGTGTTTGTAAAATCTAAACAGTGACTTTCTCCCCAACTCGGATCACATAGCTGGATTTTGCTCCCTTTCTCAATTCCATTTATTTAGTAACTTACTAAAGTTGGGGCAGCTTGCTCGTAAGACTTCTCCTTACTTATCTTGTTACCTCCTAAAGTGGAGTTTTCCTCCTGGATAATTGGCAGCTTAGTCCTCTTTAGAAACCATCATTGTAAACCTGCTATTTTAAGCAGGGTGTTATTTGCTGGGAATGCATGGCTAAGGCTTAAGGAACTTTGGAAAATCCATTAACCCCTTCCCACTTTTAAAGCAAAGATTCAGAATAGTCAAAACTCTATAAAGGATGCAAAGACGGAATGACTCGTATTTGGGCACCAAGCAAGCCAATAAAGAAATTGGGGAGAAAGTCTTGGCTGCAAATTTGACAGATTCATATTTCAGAAATCATCCAAGAAGGTGAACTGGCCGCCTGTGTGCTTTCGGCAAACTCTGCTGCATCTCTCCCGGGTTCCCCCTTCACTGTCTTGTTGCTTCTGATCAGACCATGACTTCCTACAAAGGCTTCAAGGTGTGTATTCGCTACCTGAACGCATCTGTGACAAGAGGAAATGTTTGTCTGTCTGAGTGGGCTTCTATTCATTAGCCTTAAGGAAGTGCCTGCACACTGCTTCCTTGCATCTGCACACACATGTTCTTCCCTCTCCCGGAAATGCATACCTTTCCCACCCCCACCCCAAGTCTGCAATCTCTGGAGAAACCCTTACCCATGTTTTACTCCCCCTCAATTAGCCCCTCTTCTGGGAAGTCTTTCTTGATAGACACCCCCCCCACACCAGGTGTGAATGTTTCCTGCTTATCCCCCAAACAAGATAGAGGTGTCTTTATTCTATCTGCCTGCTTCCTCCACCCCGATGGTGGTCCTTGAGGCGAGGAGCTTTGTTTTAGTCCCCTCTTAATACAAACGTCTAGCCCTGTTGCGTCAACAAGAGACCGTTTCTTTTGTCCCCCCTCCGCAGGCAAGCCTACCAGGAAAGGCAAGCGCGTGAGCACACTAGACAATTGTTGGACATCCAGGTGCTCATCTGTGTGGGAATGACTGAATGGGGAAGATTCGATCCTAATTCAGAGTGCCACTGCCTTTTCTGTGGAAGCTGTGATTCATCTTGCTCTCTGATTGTCGTAGTTCTAGTCCTATCCTCTTTGAAACACTTCTGAAGCCTGCCCTGTGTATGCTGGGTGATGCTCCAAAGATCAAGAGCAAGCAGAGGGAGGAGTCGCATGCAGAGAGGCGGAAATGTGGGCATGCCACAAAGGCTAGCATGTGAATATGCGTGTGAAGACCACAAAAAAGTAGACAATTTCCCTCCAGGGGAAAGAGGTTCAGAGGGAAGAGAGAGGCAGGAAGCCTGGGAAACGGCTGTTGGTCCCCTTTCACTGAGTGCCGAGACTTCCCTTTCACAAAAGCATATTTTCTTCCCATCATGTAGGAAGAGAATATTTGGGGTACGGAGGACTTTCAAAGATGGAGGTGGGAAGAAAACTCAGTGAATTGTGCAGTGGGAGGCAGAAGACAATGATGGGGAGTAGAGTTTCTGCACGGGCACTTGGGGGTGTCCTGAAATTGTTCATAAGCTGGATGATGTCCCAGAGATAGTTTATGGGATCTTCCGCGCCAACAAGTGTGGGCCTGCGCTGCTGAACCTGATGTGAGGGTTCAGCACCACGGACAGGGTCTCCGCCTGGCTCCAGAATGGCAGATCTTGGGGGGTGGGGGGGTCTGATGTTCATACACACCTCAAAGTTGGCATGTCCAATACCATAGAGACATGGGTTTATATGATTATATCCATATCCACATGTTTCCTTTCCCCAGGGATCCTGTCTTCGCAAAACCACCCAATCCCGAAACCTGGAGGTCAGATACCGTGTTTCTCTGAAAATAAGACCTACCCACAAAATAAGCCCTAGCAGGATTTCTAAGCATTTGCGCAGTATAAGCCATCCCCTGAAAATAAGACATAGTAATCGGCATGGCTCTGCAGCGCCCCGGCGCGGCGCGGTCACGGAGACAGGCAGCCCTTCTCATCCACCCCATCCTGACAGCTGCTATCTCGGAGGGGACCGGAGAGGTGCGGGCAGCTCATGCACAAGGTCGCCTCCCCTGTCAGGTCCCTGTCATTCTGTGCGTGCTGCAAGCGGAGGCATTGAGGGAGACATCGAAAGTGAAAGTCAAAGTCTCCTCAGTGCAGTGAGGAGCTGGTCGCTCTGCTCTAGGTGGGGTGTGTCCTCAGGGGGAAGAAGTACAGCTGTGGCTGCCGTTTGACTCAGCACTGTGGGTCGATGTTCCCGAAGAAGACAACTTCACTATGTTGAATCCATGTAGATTGTTGTACCAGACAGTAAAAATAAGTCATCCCCTGAAGATAAGCATAGTGTGTCTTCTTGAGCAAAAATAAATATAAGTGTCTTATTTTCAGGGGAACATGATAGAACCTCTCTCTCCTTTTGTACACGTTCCACAACTTTCTGATTTTCACCCAGAAAGTCACTATCATGTGCCTTTCCCCCCATCCGTGTGGACCCTATCTTCGTGTAGGTTGAGAATCGGAATTGCAAAAATATCCTCCTAATTTCTGCACCTCCTGCGCTCTCCCACCTACAAATAGGCTCTCACTTCAGCCCATTCTCCGTTGCAGCTGGCAAGGTCAGCGTCCCCAGAGAAGCCCTTTACCATTCGGCGCTGGTTGTGAGGCTCAGACTGGAGCGATTTGTTGTCGTCCGTAGAGCCCTCGGACACTCTCGGCTTCATCCTGGGCCTCTTCTCGCCGGCACTTTTGGACGTTAAAGGTGATTCATTGTGGGAGTGGAGGGAGGCCGTGTCGATCCCCATGGCTGCCAGGACCTGCGGGGCAAGGACCAATGTTGCAGTGAACAGTCTCTTGTGGAGTTTAGCACAAATACGCCCCCCAGACCTGGAGCAACAGGGGGTGAAAGGATGTGAGACCGGAGGTGGAGGACCGGGACCTGAGTGGTGGTGGGATTGGGACATGGTAGCAAGGCATCCCATTGTCACTCTCTAGAGTAAGTGGACTCGGTGGGTGCCTTGCTCAGCGTCCCTTTACCGAAGCCACACACCTCATCCTGCTGCCGTCAGGATTAACTGTTGGTGATTCACACCTGTAAATGCTTCAGCAATTTTTCTTTGGCTGTCTTCCCTACGCCTGATTGATAAAGGAGTCTGAAAGGACAGTCTGAGGCTTCAAGGTCGGGCTTAGTGACCAGGTAGTGACCATGTTCCAGAGCTCCCTGTGGGGACGGACTGAGGCTTGTCCACAGAGGAGCGTGTTTCTTTGTTTTGTTTCACCCCCTGCCCAACCTGCTTCCTTCGCTCTTTCAATTGGATTCTCCCTCGAGGAATCCTTTGCACAAGAAGCCTCTCCATCAGATTCTTCTTTGAGAAAACCTGACCTCAAACAATGCCTGCGATTAGCTGAAGTCTACTCCCATTCTCTAAAATGACAGCTTTAATCTGAGTGGTGGGTCGAGACTTTGTCCCAGGACTCTACTGCGTGCAAAGCCGCTGTCCCCTGCCACCAACCTCCTGTTCCTTCCGGAGCAGCTCAAGGGTCTCCTGGAAATTCTTCTCCTTGGCTTCGATTTCATCCAGGGTAGCCTGGTTCTGCTCTTCATAGGCCATGGTGACCACAGCCAAGATCAGGTTGACCAGGTAGAAGGATCCCAAGAAGATGACAAGGACAAAAAAGATCATATAGATTTTCCCAGAAGCCCTCAGCGTCTGTCGATTGATGATAAAGAAGAGAGACAGGTTGTGCCCATCATATACAGGCCCTTCAAAGTAAGTCAGACTGGCATGGAAAAGCTACAGACATGCAGATCACCCACCGGCCTCCAACCCAGTCCATGTGGGGGACGTGCAGATCAGTACCTGTTGGTAGAGGCGTTCCCAGGAATCCTGTGTCATGAGACGGAACAGTGAGAGGAAGGCCCAAGAAAAGGAATCAAAGCTCGTGTAGTTAAAGTCCGGGTTGCCAGCTGTTTTAAGGCAGAGATAGCCCTCAGGGCAGTGGCTGCAGCAAGAACAGAGGAAGATCATCCTTGGCTCAGCCCTAAGGCAGCCCAGGACTGCGGGAAGAGCGCAGGTTTGAAGCCGGAGACCAGCGTTCAAGGCCTGGTCTTCCTTTATTAGCTGGGTGACCTTGAGCCTTTAAACTCTTTAGATCTCAGTCTCTTTTAACTATAACACAGAGAGGATACTATTTTGATTTCCCAGTTCTGGGTACTGTTCCATGTATGCGGGCGTGTGGCCTGAGAAAGGCTAGCTGACTGTTCAGACAGGACCCTCATTAGGTGGCCCGCTCTTTGCTAGTTCACACCAGGAGAGGGAGAGTCCTCAATAAGGATGCCGGCTGAAAACGTAGGCCTGAAGGTTTGGAGAGCTACCCATGGGGAACTCACCTGAGCTTCACAGGGGAAGGTCACTGACCCATCGTGTAGGACAACAAAAGGAATGCATTCCATTTAGGAGCACTTACTGCGCGCTCTCCTAAGTGCTTTAAAGCATGATAATTGAATCCTCTCAACAGCCCTGTCTTTGCAAACGAAGACGCTGGGTTTCAGAGAGGCAAAAGTCACTCGCTTAAGCCACACGGGTGGCAACATCAGAGATATAGAATTGTCAGCTCAATATTGGAGTCATCCCAGCCTCCTCCTGAAGACTTGCTGATGATGGAGGTCCCAATTAAAGACAATTGCCTAAGAAATTACTGGGGTGGGAGGGCAATGGGCTCCTTTCTTTCTCTCATAATAAGGGGATGAGTTGATACCAAGAACTCTCTCTCAATCCGGGATACGTATTGCAATCCTATCTTCTTCGGTGGAGACGACCCGTTCAGACCACAAACGCATTGCCATGAAGTTTATTCAGACTCATCGTGACCCCACAGGACAGAGAAGCGTTTCTGAACTTGACTGGTGGGTTCAAACCCCTGACCTTGCAGTTAGCAGCTAAATGTGTCATCCACTCCACCACCAGGGCTCCACACGGTCTGTTTATGGAAATAGTAATGCCCTGTTTGCAGTTTGAGATTCTTCCGCTCCCAGGATTCCTCCACCAACACTGACCTCTGAGACTGTCCTTACTCCAGACACCCATGTGAATCCACAGCTGTAGAACCCAGACAACAGATTAGAGTCCTGGCCACTTAATTACAGTCAATCCCAATTCTATCTCCATCACTGGTGGAGATTTGGGAGTTCCCGGACTCTCTAACGGACATTTAGAGATATCCTTTAGTTTCTTCTCCCTGGAAGCTAGTCAAGCCATTATGTAGAGGTTTGCTAGTTAGCACTTAGGCCAGCCTTGTTTCTTTGTCTTCGGTAGAGCAACATTCTATTTACAACATTGCTAACTGCTTCGTGCACCTGCAGCTAACTGTTCTGAGAGGTAAATAGGAGCACAGTGACTCAATATCTTATAAGAAAAACATACAAATTAAAATGCCTGCTTCTTTTTAAAACATCAGAAGCCACAGAGAGGATAGATAGACTGGAAAAACACATATGAAAGAATGATGGAAATTGTCAAGTGTTTCCGAGTACCTGTTGTTCATGTTAGGCATTTTCACCCACAGCGCTACAGGTCAGGGTGGGACTTTGCCTCGGGCTCTGGCTTCTCCATGCTCCAGCATAGGATGGGGGCTTGGTGTTCAAAGCTTGCCCCTTTAGGTTCATTTTATTCTTTGCCCTGGTTTCCATCCCAAACTCTATCCATTCTTCCACACCTAGCTGGAAACTGCCCAGTGGCATGCCTGGCCTCTTTGGGAGCTAACAAGGAGATCTGTAGGTAGCCCAACAACTTTTCCATGAACAGTGTTTGGGCTAGAGAAATACCATCTCCAGATCGGAAGTGAACATCGAAGGCCCCTTAACTGAAATATAAATCAAAGGCAAATGAGAACTTACACCACTCCTTTCCCTGAGCCAAGTGCATGGATGAGTAAAGAGGCCAAAGACCTTGAGGATGACCAAACTGCCCTGTTTGCTTGCACCCCCTCAGTTCTCTCTGATAAGTATTTCTACTTGGCTGATTAAGGCAGAGATTCCTGCAGGCCACCCGAAGCCTCAGCTCTACTTGGGCACTGTGGGCCTTTCAGCTACTCTGAGATTGGAGCCATGATAGCTCTGGTCTCCCAGGCTCCAGCCATGGAGCTGAAAGAGTTGGCCTTTCTGATCTGCTGCCTGAAAGTCTCACTCTAATTGCCAAAGAAGCAGGAAGAGTCAAGGGGTCCCCTGCCCCTTTTCTTAGCCTCAAATTATATCCTGCCACTTAGAATGGCCTCCATGCAATCTGCCTCTCTTCTTTCCAGCCAGGAGGCATCATGCCTGCTTTTTAATGTTCACCTCTGTTTCCTCAGCCTATGTAACACCCCCCCACAATGTGTTTATTCTCCACAGTGTGGCAGCTGCATGTATTTATACACACCAAGGCATGCACAATGAAGCCTGCGGGCTTCTTTTGGCCTGCGGACATATTTTGTTTTGGCTCCACAAGGTGCAGACATGTTTCTGGAATTGGAAGCCAATGTTTATCATTGAGAGATTCCCCCTAAAATTCCAGTCTTCCTGCCTCTCTTTGAAAAGTTGGAAGAGCTGGATGCAATAGATCCGTATTTCCACATAGCTACCCCAAACTACTGGGCTAAGTCCTGACTGCCGTCTCCACAGAAGGCAAGGACTCTCAGGTACCCTCGTCCCTCCATTCACCTGTACGTGTCTGACCTCTGCAAGAATTTGATTCACGTGCTTGATGCACCATCCTCCTTGTGCGGATAACGGAACACCCGTGATTGCTTTACAACGCTGAAGCTGAAAGGTAGGACATTTGACACGAAACATGTATCTAATAATCATCCGTCCCTTCCTGGGGTAGACTGTTGGCCAAAAAATGGCCACAATGATTCCCCTTCCTGTAGCCACAACTTTTTGCCATGTGGCTTTGCTGCTTCTCCCTTGAAGAGGTGGAGTCTAGCGCCCCATCCTTTGGATCTGGACTGGCCTGCGAGTTGCTTTCGTCGAGAGAAGGCAGTAGAAGTGATGTTGCGCCAGCTGACGCCTCGGCCTCAACAGATCTTGCACGTTCCCCTTTCATTTCTTGGAACCCTGCTTCTGCCACAAGAGCAAGCTCAGGCTTGTGCCTGCTAGGAGATGAGAGACCACACGGGGCAGAGACAAGTCATCCCAACTGCGACCATTCTACACTGGCCATTGCACAGTCACTCTGCGTCTGTCTGCAGGGGACTCGGTCCGTTCAGCACAAGAGGCTGACGTGCAGGATTTAAGTTAACTGCATGGTTGCTGTCTTAAGCCACTCAATGGTTGGGTGGTTTGAGTCACGGCAAAAGCTCTTTCGTATCCTCCTCCCCCACACCCTATGAGCTCTGGGATAGCATAAGCGTTGCCTTATTCATCCCTATATCTTCCTTAGGGCCTGGGGCCCAGTACCTGTCCATAAAATGCTGATGACCAGACGGACTCAGGACTTTGGGACCCCAAGGGGCTCTGCCATGGGTGGGCACTCACCCGGCATCCGTTCCATTGCCACACAGTAAGGGATCAAAGGTTCCCGACTTATTGATGAGGAAATCTGAAAGAGAAAGGAAGAAATGAAACTCTCACCCATGATTGTCAGCCCTCCAGCCAAAGCTTTGTGCTGCGAAGGCCGTGCCTCTCATGTCCTTCCTGAGTCACAGGGACTGGGTGGACATGCTGGGGCTCCCGGAAGGTGGACAGTTACACCGGAGAGTGACAACCCGAGCAGGGCCTTCGGTTCTGAGCCTCCTCTAGAGGCAGAACTGTGTGGCTCTGAATGGATAGCTCATTTTCTTCTAAAACGGGCATTGGACAAAGGGGAACATAACCTGCCCCCCGCCCCCCAAGTATGCTACAGCTCCGGGGAAACTTTTCATCAGAAAAGAGGAATCCAGATACATGTCCCGTACAGACATTTGGGCCGTCACACCCCTTGCCATCCAGACCTCCGTCCTTGTGGCAGAAATCCCACTCGCGGGGCTCCGAAGAGTCATTGGCTGTCTGATTAAGAAGCATGCAGTTCTTCACACATTTGTTCTTGAGGTTGCCCTTGAAGAGCTGCAGGCCCATCAGAGCAAAGACACTCAGGAAGAAGATGGTGAGGATCGTCACATCCGCCAGTTTCTTCACGGAGTGGATCAGGGCCCCCACGATGACCTTCAGCCCTGTGGGGGAGATGACCACAATGTTCCCTCCTGGACAAGGAGCCAACACCCGCGGCACATGCACATGCCTGGTGACCCGCCTCTTCACCACCACTCCTCCGAACTACACACAAGTGAAGTGTTTTACCAACCCCAGGGCAGACCCAAGGCCGCGGTTCCTTGTCTGAACCTTCAATAACATTTTGGAACCCAGTGTTCCCCTGGTAGGCAGAGATTATTGTCCCCATTGCAACGTTGAGGCAACTGCGACTCATGCAGCACATCGAATAGCCCCTAAAACTTGAGCCGTGTGCTGAGATGAGCAAATTGAAAACTCGTGGTGGCCCTACCTGCTCTGTGCTAAGCAACCTGCAAGAGACGAGGCTACTGACTTCACTTCATTCATTCAGCACAGTTCTGGGAGACAGCTCAAGGTTTGAGATACAGATAACCCTTCTTGCACGTGTGTTGTGTGTGAGAGACAGAGTGCGGTGGGTGGGGAGACAGTATGAGAGAGATACAGAGAGAGAGGCCGGCACAGAGGAAACGGCAAGGGGCACAAATTGAGAGCCAGAGAAACGAAGAGAGAAAGACACATGCACTCCGACCGAGAAATGAACATAACCGTTGAGTTATGAGAGAGACCCCTAAAGAGCCAATGAGAGGAAAGCAGAGAGACTGGTAGAAAGAGCGATGCAAGGCCAAGTGCAACTGGAAGCAAAGATGGACTCCCTGAGGGATAGAGCGTTGCCTTGGCAAACGGCATCACCTTCTGAGAGGGGCTGCGTGGGTAGGACCAAGCTGTGCCAGGTGAGTTAGTTAATTGTGCCAGCCTGGCCGATAATCACATGTGGTGCTGGTTGAAAGGCGGAGGGATAAATGGGTGGTGAGCCTCGCCTTTCTAGTTCTCGGGTCTCTTGTTTTGTGATGGTTGCATCGGGTGCAGCTGCCTTAGCAGTTCCCTGCTTCAGCTTGCAAGAGTGACTTCCTACAAGACATCCCCAAGGAGAAGCTACATGGACCTATCCCGATGCACCCCTGGGTGCTGGAGCAGCCGTGTGGAGACCCCTGCTAGTGCTGAGATGCTTGTTCGTTCACGGACTCAGCTTTCCTCCTGCAGTCGGCATCATTGCCTCTGTTTTGTGAGGTGGAGGACTTTGTGGACTGGTGTTGGGTTAATGGGTTAATGTTGGACTTGTGGGCTTGGGCAGCATTGGGTTGGGATGTTTTCGTGATGCACCTTTTCTTTACATAAAACTCTCTCTTATACATGAGTCGCTGTGGATTTGTTTCTCCAAAGTACCTAGACTAATACACCAGGCAAGTGATTTGGAATCTGCTCTTGAGTTGTGAGTCTGGTGGGTAACATCCACCACGCAGGACAGACGCCTGCTAGTACCTGATCTGGGGGCTGCGAGGATGGCGAGGCCGTCTGACAGTTGAGCAGAAAGCATCTACCGAGCAGATGAGCACACTGAGAACTAGCCTCGAACAGAGGTTCAGGGTGGGGATGGGGCCTAGGGAAGGGTGAGGATGTTGGGAAGGGCCAGGAAGCTTTGTGGAGGAGGTGCAGCCTTGGCAGAGCCCTGAGGCATGAGTGTGAACTCAGGAAAGAGATAAGAAAGGGGGGTGTGTGACAGAGGGGCAGCATGGCCCAGGCAAGGAGGCGAGGAAGGACATGCCAGACGTGTGGGACCACAGGTAGCCTCTGCAGTACGAGATGAGTGGGTTAGAGTCAAGGCATGAGGCAGGAGAGGGCATCTGAGGAGACCTCTCAGGATCTTCCCTAAGCTAAGAGCATGTGAGTGAGACAGCAGGGGTCGAGCTGAATGCTTATTTGCTGAGAATCCCTCCATGAGCGAGCTGCCCAGTGAAAGCTGGCAAAAATTGCAAGTCCTTCTGTGCCGATCCAGGTAGGAAGGGATTTCTAATCTAGACAGCTGCTTCTGTCTCACAGATGACTACCTGACTCTTAGGGGCCAAAGGAGAGAGCCCTTCAAGGCACAAAGGGAACCATTAGGCTCCGTTTCAGGGATTTTTATGTTGTCTCTGGCTTTGCCAACTCCACCATCGACCCTGTAGGGTAGTCTGTGTTGGGGGATGGGCTACTGATGAGAACATGGTTCTTGGAAGTCCAATAGGATTGACTACTCCAGTTTCTCAATGATCTTTAAATAAGATTGGCTTCATTGTTTCCTTTGGGGTGAGGTTCCACTGACAGGAATGAGCCCAAGCTTTCAGATGTACAGGACGGAATATCTTTTCAGGCTCTAGGGGTACCTCCTTCGTCTCCCTTATTTCAAAGCGTAAGCCTTTCGTGTGAAGTGTGAGTGAGAGTCCAGCTAAGGGTCTTGCCTGAGCTCTGCAGCAAGAACAGAACGTGAGGCTGCGACCTTCTGGTCATTTATTGCGGTCTATGTGGTCTTGTGGACAGAACACTGGCCTAGGACCTTGGACTTCCGGGTCTTTGCCTCTTCCTGTGAGATTGTGTTGTCTACTCTCTGGGCCTCAGTTTTCTTGTCTTTCAAGTGGAGACAATAGTCTTTGCCTTGGAACCTTACCAGGCTCTTGTGAAAATCCAACACTAGGTTTTAGAAATCAACATCGACTTTGGATAAATGCACTGGTTAAAGTCTCTCACCTGGGATCACAGAAACTGTTTTTAAAGCTCTAAGAACTCTGAATGTCCGCAGGCCTGAGATTCCTCGAAAGTCTATTGCTTCGCCAATGTATCTGTAGGGCCAGAAGTGGGTCAGCATCTCTGCCAAGAGAGGGTCCTGGGAGTGGATACACCATAAATAAGGACAATTTGGGGGTAACACAAGCCTAGGAAGAACCCAAAACAGTAACTGAGAACCCAGAGGTCCTTCCACCTATAGAGTCCCTAACACTGGCTTGAGATTGCTCTATTTCCCAGAGTGGGTTCTCTGAGAAATGGTGATACCACCATTGAGGTCTTGTTGTGTGGGCTATATGTATGGATCTCCCAACATGCAGGTTTGGCCCACTAGTCTCCTCGGATGTTGGCTCTTCTGGGACTGACAAGGCTGTTTTGTGTCTGGTCCACTCTGAGAGCTCTGAGAGGCCAGCCATAAGGTCAGATTTGAAGTCTCTGGCTTTGTCCTAGGGGGTTGGGACAGACCCTGGAAAGGGACCCTTAAAGCAATAGTCAGTGGTAAGAACCCCCCCCACGTCATGCTGTGGCCAATGAGAAAGGTGGAATGAATGAAGGGCACATCCCTCGCGCAAGAACGTGGACCCATCTGTAAGATGCACGTGGATGCACACGCAGAAATCTGCATGAGGAATACTCACGCCAGGGTAATAACACCGAAGTCCAGCCAGTTCCAAGGATCTCTCAGGTAAGTGAACTCATTTAGACAAAATCCTCTCGCCAGTATCTTTATCAAGGCCTCAAACGTGTAAATGATGGTGAAGACATACCTGGAAGGGAAGGTGGAAAGGGTGGGAGCATTAACTGTGCCACGGAGAGCACCCAGGGGCTCCTTGGCTGTCCAGGAGGGAGAGGCGAGCTGCTCTGATGAGTGCGGTGGGGGCAGCGGGAGGGGGTGGAGGGGGGAACGGACACAAAGCAAACAAAGTGAATGGAAGGAAAGAAGAAGAAGAAAGAGAGTCTAAATTGTAGGCCGAGGAACACAGAAAGTCCACAGAAACGAATGGGGGTGGGGAGAAATAGCACAGGGGAGGCTTCGTTCATGGACAAACTTCATTATCTTTTAAATCCGTTTCCCACCGACTCTTGGAAGTCCCCGTGTATGCGACTGAGCCGAGAGGCAGCCTTGTTTGCTCCGTGGGGAGAGAGAAGGTACTGGCAGTTCACGGGCTTTCACAAAGTCAACCTCCTCTTCTTGAGCGAGCCTGGTGACTGGAGAAGCAGAGGGCAAGGGTCTTCCTGCCCCATACGCCTCACACAGGCTCTCATCCTGAGGGAAATGGGAGGCTCCTTCCCCAACTGGCTGATGATGGAAGATAAGAAAGAGGGATGACAGCTGTTTCTTCTCCAAACGTTTCCAGTTCAAATGACCCCTTTCTCACACCCATGACTGCCTGCCTGGCCCCCTGGCCAAGGGGGTCTCAATCCAGGAGCTTCAGAAGGTGGTGGGAGGAAGCAACTCAATGTCATGGCAAAAGGCATCTAAATCCACACATGCTTTCCCAGAAGCATTGTTTCTATTAGTTCCATCTCGGCCCTTTGCATCCGCTGTGCACCCTGACTCGAAGAGTTAGATCGGGAGTTGGTTTGGCTCCAAAGAGTGGGACCTGGAATTGAGGTTAACGGAGTAGTGTTCTCAGACGTTCAGAATCCAGGTATTACAGACAGCTGTGGCTTTCACACCTTAGTGCAGGCGTGCTCACACTTTTTCAGCGTGCGAGCTACTTATAAAATGATCACGTCAAAATGATCTACCAACTACAAAAATGCAAAACATACATTTATTTATTAAATTTATTCATAAATGCATTGAGGATTCTTTATATGTACAATGTATGTTTATGTACCTTGCATAACTGCATGAGTCCATAATGCACAACACAACACAATTAACTATGTGCATTTTTTGTCATGACCTGAGTTTACTCTGATGACTTGCACTGAATGGAATGAGCCATGGATGCATAGTCCGGACAGGAGCTGCTGACAGCCAGCCTCAAGCACACTTCCAAATGATCATCAGTCACGGTGGATTGGTATTTGGACTTAATGATCTTTATGTGGGAAAAGGCTAACTCACACAAATAAGTAGAGCCGAATAATGCAGTCAAGGAAGTAGCACATTTACTCATGTTTGGGTACTTCCCCGCTGTGAGTAAGTTCCAGAGCTGCTCATGTGCTCTGGACTTCAGCTGAATGTTGGCTTGTAGTGTCAAAATCTCCCATTCCGTATGAAAGTGATACGTTTTTGTCTTCTTACTTGGTCCAGCTCCCCCACTCATTGTAATACCCTTTCTTACATTTAAAATACAAAAAACAAGGTCTAAAAATTGGCGATAACTTAGCTTGTCAGTTTTGCTTCACTTAGCACCTTTGTTTGCACATGCGTTTGACACTTAAGATTGCATCTGATTGGCTGCACTGTATATCAATTAAGCGACAGGATTGATGCGAGGCTTACGTCTACTTTTTTTAATGCCATGCGATCTACCCACACTACACTTGCAATTAACTAGTAGATCGCGATCGATGTATTGGGCACCCCTGCTCCAGCGAGTGTCTGAGAAGGCGCATTCAAACAAGGATTCCTGGGGACCTCTTCCAGGACTTCTGAGTCAGTAAGTCTGGAGTGGGAACCTATCATTTGCTCTCCTAACAAGTTCCCCGTACCTGCTGCTGCTGCTGCTGATGGTGTGGGGTGCACCGTTTGGGAACCACGTACCTAAGAAATCCAGGCGCACATATAAATCACACATTGCCACCTACCTTTTAAAAATGACAAAGATAAAACTTAGTATTCAAAGCAGAAGACTTTCGGTTAAGCATGGTGAACGGAACATGTACATTTCCCTCCATTCCTTCTGAAAGCACTCTAGAAGGACGGTTAGAGGATTTTTTAAAGGTGCAAACCCACGAGGAAAAAGAGACCGAGGAACATTGTGAAAGTTCTTCGGGGAGCCGGAGAGCAGACAGAAGGTGGCATTTGACAGAGCATGCGCAAGAAAGCTGAAACCGCTGATGGAGGTGCGGGGTGCCCAGAAGCAAATGCAGCCACACTTTAGGACCTCAAATCTGCTAAGGAGTTAGAGAGGCTCAGTACCTCTGATAGTGGGGTTCAAAGTGAGGCTAGCAAGTGACGCTGGGAACATGAGAATTGTTTGAAAGTCTGTCAAAGAAGTGCTTGGACTTTCGAGATCTCACCCCAAGCCAACCACTCAGTGAGCAACTGTCTCTCCACTCCAGAAATAGACCGGATGTTCATTCTCTCCAGAGGGAAAAGAGGATAAAAAGGGAAAGTTTACATACGGAAAGGCAAACACTCCCTCCCCACTTCTGCCTCTGAATAAGTTCCTAGAACACTCGCAGTGAGGAATATAACCCAGGAACATGCTGCACTTTAAAAATGAACAGTCACTTAACATTCGGCATTGGCAGAAAGCTTTCAAAGTCAGGGACCACAGAACCTAAGGCTGAGCAGCCAAAAAAGGGG